TTAGTGCGCTGTAGGCTCAGAACCCTTTCCATTCTCAGCGTGCTCCTACTGCACTCACAGAAGAAATATTTAAGTCTCAGTAACTTCCACTTAAATTTCCACTTTATTTCCACTAGGAGGGATTTCATAGGAAGAAAAACAAGAGGCTGTTGCAGAGGTGGCCATTTACAACCACTGAACGTTCTAATTGTATTATGTTAATTAATAGAATGTTCTACACTTTAAAAACAAAAAATGTTATGAAGTTTTTATTTTATATATTACAGGAACACAATTCAGAATTTCATATCTACTAAAAGAAATTTGCACTGATCAAGTACATCTTCATTAAGCAGGCATTAATACTGCCCCTGTTTAGGGTAACTATGAGCTGTAAGAGCTCTGGTTCCAACTCTGCTTCTGACACAAACATATTTAGAGAAATTCTAGAAACTCCTCACAGTTTCTTTAAAGCAGTACAGTACATGTTTTGTGTTTTAATTTCTCAGTTGTCATCAAATTCTTTTTGTTCATGTTTGTTCACAGAACAAACTAAACAGTTTTGCTACTGCTTTATCTTACCATTACTATGGCGTCTTGCCATTATTATGGTAGTCTTATGGTGTCCATGATATAAAGATGCAAAGCCATCAGGACGAGGATTCTCAATTCCATCCAGTTTTCCAAAAAATGTAAGTTCACATTTAAAGTTCATTTACCATCAGGCCCCAGCACACCTATAATATTGACCAGCTTCTGGTTGCAAACCTGAACAGCTTTAATTATAACCACTGAATGCTACATCACAAATGGGAACCAAATTTTAATTACAAAATTATATTACAAAAAAATAAATTTAGACATTTTTCCAAAACCAAACTCTAATTTATAACCAGCCAAAACATTTTAATAGTGGTTAATATATAGAACTTCATATTCAAATCAAAAACACTACTATTTGAATTTGGAAAAAGTTCACATTAAAAGGGTCTGAACTGAAGGACAGTATAAGCCAGTTTTCATTTCATCCTCATACTGATAGGATAAGAGAAGAATAAAAGATTCCTTTGCTATCACATCACTGGGTCTCAACCATAGTCTGATGGTTGAGTCTCTTGGGACACATGCCTGAATTTGCAAGTATAGTCAACCTCTGTTGAGGTTGCTGAAGCTTCCAGTTAAGTTCCCTAAACTGCATATAATCCAGGCACTTCTCAACTCAGAACTAGACTGACAGCATGAACTTCTCATTTTTTTTTATCTTTACTCTACAACATATGTGGAGACCAACTCATAAGCCACATATGGGATTTTGTTTGATTCCAATAGCCTTTGAATCAGGACCAGCAGCCACAGGGAAAAATTTCAGAGTATTTATTGTAGGATGAATTCACATTACTGACTTCCATAGTTCATTCTATTGTTAAGTCTTTGTAAAAGAACCAACAATAAGGCAAAAAACCAGACTGCCACTACATTATATTTAAAGATATTTAGAAATACAACAGTTATTTGTTTTAAAAGTGATATAACATTTTAACAGAGAAGGAAGGAACACAGCCTTTACAGCCTTTCTACAAATATATGAATTTCAGCTATATGGAGAAATAAATA